AAGCACTGAATTAGACCAGCAGTCCTCAGACTGAGGTACATGTAAGTAGATGAAGATTTTCTAAATGAGGAAGTCAATTTCCAGATATTTGGCTGCTTATGGTATTTTATATTATTGTCTGTAAAAGGCCTTGTGGTCAAGCTCATTCTTTCCCACCTTCTCTTTTACAACTGCTTTTTAAAACGAATTTACAGAAGAAAGACCTATCTCAGATTTATTTTTAATCTCATTATGGTGCATCAAATTAGGGAGCAAAACTTCTGATTTTTAAAACAAGGGACAATTTATTCCAATGACAGAATTTCAAATCTTTCTGGTTTAGTTGGTGTTAAATTCTTTGCTTTTAGCAAAGGTAAAAGAGAACCTAATAGAATGGGCAACTGAAAAATTATTAAAAAGTTTTCCACAATATTCTCATTTTAGTTTTGTCTTCCAGTACAATATTCTTTTTTAAACTTCTCTATGACTCTGGTTAGCAACCTTTGCTAAAAGAAATACAACCTATGACTACTTTGAAGACACATACCTTGGACATCTAAAATCCACAATAGCAGAGAGAGGTATGACATAATATTTTTCATTGTTACATGTTGTACCTAGAGTCCAATTAATTATTTTAAGAGGAGACGCTAAAGAAAAACAATTTCCAAGTCACCTTTTAGGAAATTATATTATTATTATAGATTGATTATATTATTATTATAGATTAACAATACATATATTTGATATCTTCATGTTGTGTTTAAGTACTTTTGCTAACTAGGTAATCATTTTTACAAAAATCACTATTTATAATTTTAGCTACCTGTATGTTAGTGCTCTGGTATAAAACTACATTTTATGTACCACTTTCATCTTTGATTACCTTATGAAAATTTGCCCCTAAGACAAGCAAAGCATCAATAACTGGTTCATGGAGTAGTGTTTGACAAGATGGCTAGCATGAATGGAAAATTATGGTGAGTGACTCAAGCTAAAGAATAATTTCTTGTTGCACTAGGTACAAGGTGTACAAGTCAAAATAATGTTTTAATTTAGTAGCAGTGATTACTTCTATTATATCTTGTGTTAACTTAATTAACAACTCATGTCTAATCTATCCAATATAAAGCATTAGAAAAATTAATGGGATATTTTATATTCTTTTTTTTTTTGTAAACAAACAACAGTAATCAAAATGGTGTGGTACTGGCATAAAGAAGACATATAGACCAATGGAATAAACTAGAAAGCCCAGAAATAAACCCTTGAATATATGAGCAAATGATTTTTGACAAGGGTGCCAACATCATTCAATGGAGGAAAAGACAGTGTTTTAGATGTATGGCATGATTCTAGGAAAACTGGATGTCCACATGTAAAACAGTGAAGGTGTTCACCTTACACTATGTCCTAAAAATTAACCAAAATAGATTAAAGACTGAAATCTAAGAACTAAAGTTATAAAATTCTTAGAGTAAAACAGGGGGAAAGCTTTATGTCATTTCATCTGGCAATAATTTCTTCTATGACACCAAAAGTACAAACAACAACAACCAAAATATAGATAAGTTGGACTTCATCAAAAATTTTAAAATTTATGCATTAAAGAACATTATCAAAAGAATGAAAAGGCAATCTATGGAATGGGAGAATATACTTGCAATTATATACCTAATATGGGATTGATGTATAGAATATTCAAGGAACTCCTGAGTCAAGAACAAAATACAAACAACCCAACTAGACAGAGATCTTGAATAGGTATTTTCCCCAAATAAGGTTCAAAAATGATCAATAAGCACAAGAAAAAGTGTTCAACATCACTAGTTATTAGAAAAATGTAAGACAAAAACTCAATGAAACCCTCACTTCATATCCATTAGTATGACTATTATAAAAACAACAAAACCCAGAAAATAACAAGTGTCAGTGAGGATGTGGGAAAATTGAAATCTTTGTCTATGGTTAGCTAGAAAGTAGTATGATACAGCTACTATGGAAAACAGTAAAACATTTTCTTTAAAAATTAAAGATAGAATATTAATCATATGACCCACCAATTCCATATTTAAGTGTTGTTATGGTTTAGATGTGAGGTGTCCCCCAAAATCTTACATGTGAGACAATGCAAGAAGATACAGAGAAGAAATTATTGGGTCACCAGAGCCTTAACCCAATCAGTGAATTAATCACCTAATGGGATTAATTGAATGGTAATTGAAGGCAGGTGGGGTGTGGCTAGAGGAGCTGGGGCATTAGAGACATGGCTTTGGGGTATGTATTTTCTATCTGGCAAATGGAGCGTCTCTACTTTCCGATCATCATGTAAACTGCTTCCCTCTGCCACACTCTTCTGTCATGATGCCCTGCCTACTTAGAGCCCTGAGGAATGGAGCCAACTGTCTGTGGACTGAGACCTCTGAATCTGTGAGCCCTCAAATAAACTCTTCCTCTTCTACAATTGTTCTCATCGGGTCTTTTTAGTCACAACAGCAAAAATGCTGACTAAAACAAGTGAATACTCAAAAGACTTGAAAACAGGGAACTCAGTTATTTGTATAACTGTGTTGATAGCAACATCATTCATGATAGTCAAAAGGAAGAAGCACCTCACATGCCTATTGATGGGAGAATAGATAAATAGTCATTTATTTTGAAAGCTGAAACATGTCTTTCCTAATCTGTTTCATTTTTATTTATTTATTTTTTACTAATCTGGCTGTAATACAAGATACGACACCTCATATCTAAACCATAACAACACTTAACACACATTTGTAATTCATAATGTGCCTAATTTAAATTTATTGATAAACTAGAAAAAGGTAATTAATAAAATAATGGTAAATATTTTAATTTAATTATCAGCCAGATTTACATAGGTTGTACTCTAATCCTTGCTGTCTGCATAAAATATACAAACACATAATGTTACATCTGTAAATAGAAAAAAATCATTCAAACTGAAAATATTTACTGATGCTGGATACATTGGTGATGTATTTACATATAATATTGGAAAAGACAATGTGCCCTATATATGTGCTATAATAACACAATAAAACGTATAACATACAATATAATAGTTCAAGTAAATGTAGTCCTACCAAAGCAATGCATTTGTGTTTAACAGAATAGTTTACTCTGCTTTAGTTTTTAAATTAGAATAAATTTAAGTGAAATTAAATTTTCTGTTCCTCACTAGCTGCATTTCAAGTGCTCAGTGGCCATACATTGAATAGCACAGATCTTCATTTTAGTGAACTTTTTCAATAGTTGCTTTGTATGTTTGATAAGTCACTGCAAACAAGAAAGTTAACAATTTCATTCAGTTTAAACATTTCCCATTGTTGGTTTTTAAGAATACCAACAAGTATATGTCAGAGTTTCATCTTTCTGTATTTTTTGTTACCAAAATTTAGGGAAATAAGGGTAAATATCGAGCAGTCATAGCTTATATGAATGGAAAGTCCAGTATTTCATGCCTGTCTTCCCAAGTTAATTATAAAAATATCATTTCATTTTCAACAGTGTCTTGTTTTGAATGATAACCTATACACTCATTCTCGATATAATGCAAAGTACTTTAAAACCTTAGCTAGGAAGCAAGTGGTAGGTGGTAAACTATAAAATCAGCTAATACAAAAGAGAAAATATGTCTTCCCATGCTGTTCCCATGTATTTAATTGAGACAGGCTGTGAAGACAGGCTGTTAGGTAGCCTTGCTGCCTAACACTTGTTCAAAATCACAACCAGAAGAATATCTAGAATGTGAATCTAAATGTTAATTGTTTCTTTACATACTTAAATTAGCAGCTTTTTCTCCTCATTGGAGGAAAATCTTGGTAAAAGTGTTTTAAAATGTGTTTGTTGTCTTCAGTGAAAATCACAGATATTATACCAATTATAATATATACCTGGACCAAAGGGAAGAAATCTAGTTCCCACAAATTAAAGTTTCAATTTAGAAAATGATTTTGAAAATAGTTTTAAACTTTCAGGTCTATATAATTTGTGCCAAGCTATGAAAATATTGCCCCAGAATAACTTAACAAATATATAAGAAGATATGTTAATTATGTACATGTAAATTATGCAGAAGATATATTAATTATGTACATGTGAATTATGCTCCTGAATTGCTATAGTAAGTGATTTGATATAATGGATATTTTGCTTATAAAGTATCATGTCACATTTATCAAAGTTAAATTTTATAACAACTCTGAAAAGTAATGTTTGCATTTTATAGGTAGGAAAAAATGATGCTCATAGAGCTTAAGTAATCTGCCTTAAGTAACCTAGCTAGTGAGTGATGAAGCTTAAAGTTTTGTAATTCCTGGATAAAGTCCTTCCAGGCATAGTGTCTGGCTTGTTGTACAACGTCCATGAAATCTTCGAGCCACACTTTTTGGAGTAGAATCTGGGTGGTGGCCTCTATGATTTATATTTTCCTAGAAAGAATTTAAATGGTTATGGCCTCCTAAAATTTCGGAGACTCAAAGCTCTTTTTTTTTTTTTTTTTGGAAAAAAAAAATTGACTCTGACCCTGAAGATTTAATGAAAATTATCCAAGTTTCCAAATCTTCCCCCTTCATCCTACTCCCTTCCAAAATAAAAGAAAAAAAAAACCCAAGTAGATATACTTAAATAAATATTAGTCTGGATAATATTATCTAATTCATACATCAGTTAACTTGCAATATATGATAAAGTTATTAGAGTAATGCTGTACAATATTATAATGGAGATTCCATGGCAGGAATTCATACTACAGCAAGTATAGATGAAAAGCATAGACGCTGGAAATTAACACACTGACTGCTGCTCATTATACATTATATGTCTTTAAGCACTAATTCTTCAGAACCTCAATTTTCTTATCTGAAACTGGTGATATTTTCTAACCTACATAATTATTTGCTGCAATTTTGTAAATGATATTATTTGCTACAATTTTGAGTATATTTTGTATTATATCTTAGTGTTCGTATCTCCCTTTCATAGGTAAATCCCCAATGTGGTGCCTTTTCACAGTGATATATTTCATCCCTATTCTTGGAAGTACTCATGGTATCTTTCGAAATCGAAAAGCTGTGAACCCTGAAGCAAATACGAATATTGTAAGTTGTTAGGAAATAAATCTAAACTGCTAAAGTAACAGAGAATGTTACTCTTCAAATTTTGGAGTTTTTAAGTTAATAGATTTATAATCAAATATATCTCTCTGAACTTATGTATTTTGATATGGGTCAACTAATATTTTAAATCTACTCTGCTGTGGTTTATGGTTTCACCTTCAGCCTTAGTCTGTCTCTTTAATGAAACTATATATAATATACTAATACCTTCATGAAAGATAAAAATTCTCTCTTCTATACATTCTTATGTGATATATATATATATATATAAATTTAAAATACAATATTAGACATATGCCTGGACATGAAAACAGATACACATGTACTTTTAAGTTGTATATGAGCAGCTAGGTAAATGTATGAATGACTGGAAGTTAGAAAACAAAATAGTGGAGTATTTCCAAAATAGTGGAGTATTTCTTGCTGGTACTCTCTTTGAGATGAGGGATTTAATTTTTTTTTTTTTTTTGGTTAGTTTTATATATCTTTGAATCCCTAGTGCTTAGACTGGTGCTTAATAGACATTCTATAAATATATTACCTAAATGAATCACTGAATTAATGAGAAAAGCACATAGACCTGAGGTTGAGATAGAATACCAAAATTCCTTATTACATAATGGATTAGATAGGGCAAACTATTTAAACCATTAGTTAACAATTTTTTGCTAAAAGGTTTGCTGTTTTTTATTCAGAGCCAAATCATTTCCTACTAGGGCTACCCCAATGAAGAATACAATGTTGTAACCAAAAATGGTTATATCCTTGGCCTGTATAGAATTCCTTATGGGAAGACAAACAATAATAATGTTTCAGGTAATATTCAGTTGAAAATAGATTGGTGACTGAGGCCTGAAGTTCTTAACTTTTCTATTTCTTCTCAGTGAACATGTATGATTTACTCTCAAGGGAATGGAATACTGTCAAGGGACATTAGGGTAGGGTGGTGGAAGGAGGTAAGGAAGGATGTGATTCCACAGGGTCTAGGGCGTTCAGAGAAGTTCGTGGAGCTCATGAATAGCACTACAGAGGTGCCCCCACATTGAGATTAAGCAGCTAGCTTTTTGTACTTCCCTGTCAGTTAATCACTGCCTGCCAAAGGCTACCACTAGAGGGAGGAGGAATCTTTTGGGTGAGACAAATCCTATTTGACTGAGGGGAATCTACATAGAAAGGAGCAATGGACTATCCTTAGAAAAAACACTGAGATCATAATTAGTCTTATAAATTACCTACTCCACTATCCATTCTATATTCCTCATCTTCCCACATAGCTTGTTTGATGGGGTTAAACGAAGCCCTCATCCCTAAGCACTGCCCTATCTATATCTGATCATAGCTGTAGTGTCTACATACAGAACAGAGCATGGGAGAAGAAAAAGATGCCTCAATTGAGTGGTCACTTCTGTTGGACCGGTGAGTTCAGGGAAATATGGAATTCAAGTTTTTGAAGATCTTCACAGGTACCCTCCCTCATCTCAAGTTTCAGGGTCCTACTTCTGCTCTATCACAGCCCTGAATATAGGGATGGATATAT